CATTCCCCGTCCACCTTTATTCTTTTCTTTAAGGCTTGGCTTTCAAATAAGTCATGGTTGTACGGCAGTGAAGCATCGGTGTTGAACACTGATGCCATGCTGTCGATGATGATGATGTTTTGAAAATTCGATTCACCCCAGTTGTCTGGGGCGGCCTTCTCCCACATAGACGCAAATAGGCTAGACAGCCACTAGCTGAGGAATCCACCACCATCCTTGAAAAAATCATGTGGAAAATCATCAGGGCCAGCAGCACGGTGACGTTTGAGTAGAGAAATATATTCAGACACTTCTGAGACTGAAGGCGGCTCCATATTTACGGCCCACCTTCCTGTTGAAGGCCAGGTTTCTGGACTGGAGATGGCAGATGGCCAGCTGAATTGCTGCTTGAAGCACTGTGCCTATCGGTCCAAAGGTTCTGCTTTGCTGCATATCATGGAACCATTTTGGTCTCTGATTATTTCGCTGCCAAGATGTTTCCGGGGACCCGTCGAACGAATCAAGTGGAACAGTTTGCGCACGTTTCCAGCGTTCTTTGCATCTTCCATTTCTTCGGCCTTGCAGTTCCACCAAGGTTCTCGGTCTGCGCGGACACTCATTTTCACCTGGCGTCGGATGATGCGCCGGGTGGAGTTGTGGTGGCGGCCAGGTGAAATCTGTTGACGGGTCTCCAGCAAACACACGGTATTATTAGAGATCCAATGCTTGGATGGGGATGGCTGGGTTGTACCGCAAACAGACATCCCGGCTTTGAGTAGCGTTTTGGATATTTTCTCCGGTGGCCGTTTATATCCGACATCGTGCCGTCAAGCAGGCATTCGAAGAGCCGGTTCTGACAGTTTCTTTTGACTTCTGGGCCCACTAGCTTCTCGTGGCTAAGCAAAGTGTGTGCGTTTTGCGTAAACCTGAAAAGCGCAATGAAAAGCAGCAGCGTACAAGTGCATGGCTGCAGTCCACGCTGGTGTTCCAGAAGGAGCGGCAGGCGCTGATCAACCCTCGCCACCGATAACTGACGGCGATGTGGTCTATTTGGATTCGGCGCTGGATTGTTGGTGGGCACCATGTTGTCAAGCGATTTCCGCTGTTCAGGAAATTTATACTGCAAAGGAAGTCTGTGATCGGCACACATCTGGAGTAAGCGGTCTCCACTGTCCGTGCGTCTCGTGTCCAAACCAGAACGACTACCAAATCGGGCCTCATCAGAGCTCAATCTACCTACCTGGCGTTCGTATCACCAGCAACCACAACGATATCTGGGCTTTTGGCCTGCTGTAGAAGGGCTCCTAGAGTGTCATAGAAACTGTCCTTGGCAGATCCAGAGCTAAGTCAGTTGGGGCGTAGGCAGGCACAATAAACAAAGTGCGATGAGCCACACTTCCTTTAGACTCTCTCACAGATGTTACCAAACGAACCGCACAGAGGCGGCTATCAACGGGTATCCAATCAAGCAGAGACGCTTCCACTCGTTCGCTCAATACAATACTCACCCCAGCATATCCAGCTGCAGCGGCCTCTGCATCACCAGAGGTAAGCAGCCGGAACCTGGAAGAGTGTGAAGGGGCAGTCAGTTCGATCACAGTACTTGTGTCCTGCGTCCTCGTTTCTGACAGACAACATAGGTCAATACAGAGGGGATCCGGCGTGCGCGGAAGAGCCACCTCTTGACCTGCTTGCTTCAGTGTGCGAACATTGAAGGTGGATAAGTAGACAGGCTTTTGGTGTTTGAAAACATACTTCGAATTGTTTAGGGTTGTGAATGAACTCGGATGTGCAGAAGCTGAAGCTGAGTGTGATGCAGGGCAAGCAAAGTGGTCAGTCCTAGAACTGGGAGCTACAGAGAAAGTATTCAAATTTGGGTGGGGGAGGGGGAGGGACCGAAAACATGAAAGTGCAAGAAGAGAGGCGTCGGTAGTAGCATAGTGGCTTACCCGCCCTGCTGTATGCAGCAGGTAGGGTGACCCGGCTGATGACGCCACGCGACGGCCGATGTCGCATGGGAGTATTGTTAGTTGTGTATGTCATGGTTGTAAGAAGTCTGGGATACTGCCAGGGTGCCCACACCTAGACAGGAGGACAATTTGGGATCCTCAACCAAAGCCTTTGGCTCAAAAACCTAACCGCAAGGCAGCGGTGTTGGGCTGGAAATGCAAGTACATTACCACTTTACGGAACACGTCGCCATACATGTTCCACTCCCCAAAACGGAGGGCCAGGAGAGTGTGTTCGTCAGACCTCTACCAATGGAGCAACCTGGTACGAGAGACTCTGTGAGTGTCGCGCGGACACCCCCCAATATAGCTCAATGGGTCGCCGAGGTACGCAAACTGCCACACCACGGTAAGATCCAGTCTCTTCGTGACGGAGCCGAATGTTTATACATGGAATAGTGGCTTGGAAATTGGCGGATGGATTGATCGCACTGCACTGTTCGACGGGTGGAGAGTGAGTATGAGAGAAAGCCGGTAAGCAAAGCCCTGCAGAGGTAAATGATACTGCCCGGTTACCCACACCGTAAAAGGGAGTTTAGTTTAGGTATCCCACCTTCAGTCTTTGACTCAGAAGTCTGACCCACAAGGCAGTGGGAGGATGTAGTATTTCGTTCGATGAACCTGCTCACAGCCGCAGATTCAGAAGTCTGAACCGCGAGGTAGTGGTTGTTAGGGTTTTCTTGGAGGACTCTTTCCGGAACGAATGACTTGATGGTCTGACCCGTTTATTTTCAAGGGGCCGGTCTGGTCCGAGGGCGCAAGGTGTAAGGCATTAATGTCTCACTTCTAATGAAGCTGTGCACAGCAGGTGATTTTGAGTAGCACATTGGTTACCATGTCTCAGATAAGCCTTAATTATCCCTCGATCAACGACCTGCCTTTCAGTGGTTATAACCAGGTCATGTAGGAATTGTAATTGGCCTGCAGTATACACGGTAGCTGTGTCGGCACGCAGAAATCAAGCGCTTTGTTGGGTAGCTTAAGTCCGTCTTGGATGTCCGGTAGACCCAAAATGTCTCCGTACTGCGCCAGTGGTTAAGGCGCTGCCTAGAAGGTTTGGTTCGAACTCTGTTCTTGTCTAGGCATGGGTAACCTGGCAGTATTTCACCCCTTGTGCTTCCTTTAGGTGGCATTTCAGCTATGCACCGAAATAGTTCTGCAGCTGAAGGTTATGATTATTTTGCTGCTATGCTACACCAAACCCGATCCTGAAGTCTGATCAGAAGTCCGATCAGAAGTCTGAACCGCGAGGTAGCGGTTGTTAGGGTTTTCTTGGAGGACTCTTTCCGGAACGAATGACTTGATGGTCTGACCCGTTTATTTTCAAGGGGCCGGTCTGGTCCGAGGGCGCAGGGTGTAAGGCGTTAATGTCTCACTTCTAATGCAGCTGTGCACAGCAGGTGATTTTTTAGTAGCACCGGATTCTTATTCTAAAAATATTCAGAATGTATTGAAAACTGCACCGGCGGTTACTGTCACCTAGGGGCGACCAGAGTGTGCGGTTTTTGGGGTCGAACTTTAATAACCCATCCTTCCTCGGAAGAAGGCATCATCGCTGGTTTCATAATTATGGACATGCTGATCGCCTTGAGGAAACGACTTAATCATCATCATTATCGAATCTACAGCATGACACCGGTGCTTCACCGCTGTACAACCATGATTTATTTGACAGCTTTATTGTGAAGAAAAGAATAAAAGTGGATCGGGAAGGGACTTGGTGCTGGTACTACAACCAATCAGAGGTGCATGCACCACCAGACACCTATTCAGGTAATCTGGATAGAAACTGACAATAAGAACGCCACTGACATCGATAGGCAGCCATAACTTGTAGTCCCCAACCGGGCTAAATGGAGATTACGCGGTTTCCATCCCGAAGAGCGAGTAGCACCGACATCACCTAAGCGTTTCGTGATCTCCTTCATGCTCCTCTGCCAGGTCAAGGTTGACCACCCCTCTGCTTCTACCACTGAATTGGGCAAGGAAAATAGTACTCTCTTCCGCAAACGATGGTTCGGTCTCACCAATGCAGCGTTTGGCGCTGAACACATTCTTCAATGGAAGTACTCGTTGCGCAACTAAAAACTCGCGTCCTAATTGCCTCAGTACGGATTCACCTACACCAATCCACACGGGCTACGGTCCTGGAACAACAAACAACTTAGGACGTCTCAGTTCCGCAGCCCGAACAGGCCAAGTCCCACAGCCATATAAAAAACAGCCTGATACAGAAGTTCACTGAGATTCAGAGATACACCACTTTGACATTATAGGTGTCTCAAATTAGCAAACACAACCGGAGCCTTGGAGATTCGTGCATTGACGTAATCTGTCACACTACGATCACGACTAATACAACTAATACAACGTAAAACGCTTCACAATTTCCGGTACCACTTCCATGATTGTATGTTGCGCGTCCAGTGAGTGCATGTCCAGGAGCACTTTGTGGTTGCGAAATGCATACTGACTTTGATCAGTTCATTCAAAAACACCTGCGCCTTCTCTTGCTCTTCGAAGTCAAGGACGATGCTGCCTGCATATTCCACATCGACAAGGTTTTCGCCACAGGCTATTTGAACACCGGGGATCTGCAGACCTTCCAGCGTTCGTTTCATGATTTCACGAATCATGAAGTTAAAAAAGAATGGAGAGAGTGGACATCCCTGAGGGACACCGCTTTGTGTACGGAAAATATGGCAAAGCTCACCGTATACCCTCACACATCCAGAAATCAGAAAATACAGATAGCTTGTCATGGTCACAAACTTCCCGGGCATTCCTTGGTTGACAAGCGTGTCAAGAAGAACAGGCCAGTCAGCCAAGTCGAATGCGCCTTGGAAATCCAGGAATACCAGAATTGTGATTCACTTATACGTATGGCGTTGTTTTGGCACCTGGCGGGGTGTGAAGATTTGGTCAACGGAACCCATACCAGGCCGGAATCTCGCTTGCTGCTCTCGAGCCAGTGTCTCACGAGCCACCATAAGGCGACGAAGCACACGTGATGCCCACAGTCTCGTTAGGACCGGGATCAAGTTGATCCCACTGTGGGGCTATTTTTTGAAAACGGGATTTATCATCGATTCTTCTCAGTTTTCTGTTACAGACTCCTTTCCCAAATGCAAGTGAATATATCAGATCTCCGGGACTTACGTAATGCCACGGTTCGGTCTGATATCCAGTGCTCGAGTGCGCCTGGTGGTGCCGTACCACAGGCAAAATTCCAAGCATTATGCAAAGGGTTGGTGATCTCGTCCCAACATGAGCTCAAATCTGACGGTGGAGCATTTGGGAGATTCTGGAATATAATTCCGTTAAATTCGTCTAACATTCGGATCTGCGGGTCCCCCATTTGTCAAGCAATTTGTGCACGCCTTACACGGTACTAGAAGAAGACTGAAGGGACTCCAGAGGAGGGCAGTGGGAATTCATAAACGCGTTCCAAAACGACCGGCAGTGAGTCATTGATCCGCACCATCGATAACTGATGGCAGTGTGATCCATTAGAATGCGCGGCTGGCACATTGTTGAGGATGCCATGTGACCACACGATTTCGGTTATTTCGGAAGCTAGTGCTGCATAAAAACAACCTGGGTCAGTACCCGGCTGAAGTGGTCGATTGCCAGTCAGTACGTACTGAGTCCAATCCATGTAGACCACTTAGTTGATTCGCAGATGGACCGAGTCTCTCCATTTGTGCATTGGTCTCCGGCAATCACAACGATATCTGAGCTTTCAGCTCGCCCCAATATTCCATTCATGGCACCACAACGTTCGTCTTTGACGGTGTTAGAGCCATAGTCAGCTGACTATACTGCTCTCACTAGTGAGAGCATGAGCAGACACGATAAACAGACAGCTATCAACTTCACGATTGAGACCCCCTCACAGACACTGCCAGACAGACCGCAGAGAGACGGCTATCAACAGGTATCCGGTCAAGCAAGGATACCTCCGCCCGGTAACTTAGGACGGTACCACCTCCGGCACATCCCGCCGCAGCAGCCTCTGGATCACCACATGCGTGTAGCCAGAAGCGAGTGGAGAGTGATGGGGAGTTTAGCACAACCAATGTGCTTAAGCTATTGCATCTTGAATTTTTGTTTCTGGGACACAGCACACATCAATGCCAAGCGAGTCCAATATGAGAGCAAGAGCACCTTGTAGTCCTGGTTACTTCAGAGTGCGGACGTTGAAGGCCTCCAGGTAGACCGGGTGCCCACACCTCGACAGGAGACGATTAGGAACGTCAACCGAGGCCTTCGGCTGAGAAGCCTGACAGCAAACAGCGGGAAATGCGAATACCTAAACATTTTATGGAACAAGTCACCACACATATACCAACCCCAACCTTGGGAACCAGTAGACCGTATTCGTCAAAGCTTAATGGGTCTACGAGGTGTACAAAGCGCTACACTGCGGTATGATCCACTCTATTCGTGAGGGAAAAGTTCGAAATTCCTCCTGATCAGCTGTGCATGTTGTAGTAAACGGTGTCTGTCAGTTTGATTGATTTATGAGTAAGTATTGGTGATGTACAACCTTGCTTACTGGGCTTTGGCTCATGAGCTTCATTTCTGTTTCCCATCCACAGAAATAGTCATGAACACTTACCTACGGAGAGTCACTATCCCCTGGTGTTTCCATAGCGTGCATATTACAATACCTGCCAAAAACAAAAATATGGCCACCCGGCCCCTGGACTGGCGGCCAAATCCTCACAGCGGTCTGATTGGTGCAAACTGCCAGTGGATCTTCGCAGGAAGGATCCACGGATTGATACACAGGATCGAGGCTTTTGCCCAAGTTTCCCGGGTCGGTTTTGTTCTTGTCGGTCAGTGGCTGTCGTTCACCTGAAAGGCACAAGTGAAAAAAGGGTGTAGCACTGCTCTTTATGTTCTCAGCGCGGGGCAGTATGCTCGCCAGCGCGAGGATTCGCATAAATAAATGTCTAATAGTGCTTTAAATTGGGTTCGAGAAGGAGCATGTACAACCGTCGGAGGAAGGTCATTCCACGCAGCTACTACACGAAATGAAAAAAAGTTTTGTCTAACGGATGTGTGTGCCCTGAGCTTGAAGATTTTCATACTATGTTCCCGCCGGGTGTTTGCTGGGTCAACGGCAAAAAACCTGTTTGCCAAGCTTTGTTCAAACAAGGCGTAGGTAAGAATTAGGTCCCCTCGGAGGCGACGGTACTCCAGGGGAAAGAGATCAAGCATCGCGAGACGCATTTCGTAGTCCACGGACTTGAGGCCGGCAACAATTCTCGTGGCGGCCCGCTGGACACGCTCAACGAGGGTAACGTCTTTCGTACGTCCTGAGTAGACAACTTCGTTGGCGTACTCCAGGAGCGGTCTGACGTAGGCACCATAGAGTATTTGGAAGTCCATGCGAATAATACGGGAGAAGGTACGTCGGATCATACGTGTAGTGGGGTAAAAATGTAATACGGGCAAGTGGTAGCAGGAGACGCAGAATTACAGTGTGCAGTGAGGCTTATGCGACTCACTAGTGTTGCAGATGAAGCAGGTTCGAGTATAAAAGTTACTTGGGAAACGAGTTCACGCANTCTACATCCATTTGGAGGGCGCTGGCATTGGAACTCCAGGATTTCAAGTCGTCCGCAAAAAGCAGACATGGACTCGCAAGAAAATCTAGGAGCTCGTTGACGTAGATCAGAAACAGGAGTGGTCCCAAGACGGAGCCTTGAGGAACTCCACGGATTTATTCACGGATGTTACACAGGATCAAAGCTGTGGCCCAAGAATTCCAGACCGCATATGTCCTCATCGTTCCCCAGGTTCAGTCCGCCTAAAGGATGCAAGTAATAAAGGTCGCAGCGCAGCTCTGTAATGTCTCATTTTTATGTACCAAGCTTACCGGAGCGAGAACTTATAAAAAGTGCTTCCAAATGCGTTTTGAACTCAGGTCCAAATAAACCACAGACGGTTATCGCAAGAAGCTGATTTCGGTCAGTGATTTTCTTCGCCGGGTACCGATCGCAAACCGGTATGAGGAATAATACGTGGGTTCCAAACATGAGATATTTTCACAGTGATTTGCATTGTATTGGTAGGGTCAACTGTAAAAATAATTAACACCTTAGGCTTGATTGGGTAAGGCGTGCACTAGCATCAGATGTCTTCAGAAAGTGCTGTCGTTCAACAGACGGAGTTCTAGGGTGCAAACGAATGTATTGTTGAAACACCTTAACTGTATTAATAGATGGTTGTGTGAATAAAATTTAGTATTCATTGATGGAGGCCAATTCAATTAACCTTAGCTCCCTAATTCTCGGGTCATTACAAGGGTTTATTGACACAGTAAATGTTAATTACGTGACGTAATTATTTGTTTCCCTATTCCTCAGGCTAGTTCATCACCCTTCCGTGACTGCTCAAGTTTCAAGACTGAGCCGACTCTACCTCAACCATTTCTATAGACGATTTGTTTACATTTATCCATGGACTTGTTGAAATTTTGTTCCACTTTGAACTGAACAATTTTCCCGCTTAATTTGTCCGATAGCACGCTGTCCTTCGTGTGCCATTCTGCGTTGCTAACTGCTCAAGGTTCAATCTAGCCGTAAGCCTTTCTTTCACTCTCCTCACGATTTACTGTTAATTTCCTATAGAACCACGGTCTACCTATCTGTACTGTCTGCCCAAGTTCAATTCAATATATTGTTCACTGCCCAATTGCAACTACTGAACAAACGCAGGTGAAGTTCGTAGAATTCGGTTTCGCCGCAATTATTACTGACCGTCCGTTGGTGAATTAGACTACACGTTACCTGTAGGATGGGACACCTAGATCGTGCGTTTAGGCTAAGTGACCTATTCCTTGCTTTGAGATCACGGCTTTGCACAGGATCGTACAAAGTTGGCTAGATATACCGTCCGAACTTCAATATCCGGCTACATTAAGACGCGTTATGTCTGTGTCTCGACTGCCTTCTCCGTCTCGTGCATCTACCAATAGCGCACTGTCCACGCAAGAATTGATGAGAAAATTGAACCTGGCCCGTATAAAGATTAAAATTTAGAGCTAGAGGCAGATGCTGCTAAAAGAATCAAGGACTATCAACACAGTGTTCAACAGGACATGGAGAATTTAGATGAAATTGCTCGATCCATGAATCCTGGGGGTTTGGAAACTTGTCCTTGTCCTGCAACAAATGAACAGTTTGACTCCGTAAGGAGATATGTAAATTCCATACCAGACCCAAAAGACTTGCCAATACCTTTTGAACATGATACTGTTATCAACCCTCGAAATATCCACTTAAGTAATCCTAACACGATACAAGACGATCGGCTTTTGGGAACCGCTCAGTTGTTGCAAACATTTATGGGACTTCCTGCGTGACAGCTGCCAAAATTTGATGGAAACCCCGCCGACTACCACAGTTTTATGCGCAGTTTTATGTCACGACGCACTCGTGATCCGGCAGACCGATTCTCATACTTGGTGCATCATTGTGAAGGTGAGGTAGTCCGGGCCATTAGACGGTGTGGCGTTTTGGAACCCGAAGAAGGCTACGCAGAAGCACTACGTATACTTGAACCTAGGTTTGGTGATCCACATATCATTGCAACTACCACGATAGAGCAACTGACGGAAGGGCCGACCCTAGGGGCGGACGATCATAAAGCTTTGGTCACTTTGGCTGACGACATGATGATTTGTTCTGCTACGTTGAAACAACGGGAACATCCAAATGATCTTAATTCTTGTCGGACCATTGGAGCTGTTGTAGCTAGATTACCTAGTACCATGCAGAATGAATGGTTTGCCCTGGCAGCTAAATCATTCAAGTCCAAGCGTGATCCAACATTCGACGAACTGGCAAAGTTCATAAGTGACAAAGCCGATGCAGCAGCAGCTCAACAGGTGTATGCCGTAGGACGGAGGTTTATGCGTCCCCAGCCGAACAGAGTGTGGCCCCAACCAACACACAAATCCCCACTATATAAAGCAGCCATCTTGACGACGCAGATAGGCAACGACAGATCAGGTCAGGTTAGGTTACCAGTGAAATGTGCACAGTGTGGATCATCTCACTACCTGGATCAGTGCCCAGAGTTTATTGAAATGCCAGTTGTAAGCAGAATTGCCTGCGTAGACCGACTCCGAGTATGTTATTTATGTTTAAAACCGTACCATCAAGCAAAGGCGTGTCGATCCAGACATGCCTGTGGGTTCCACTTATGTGTGGGTAAACATCATCCACTTTTGCACCGACCGAGCTCTTCCAAGACAGAAAACGAACCAGAACCACCTGAGATTGTATCAAAAGGTGTACACCATGGCATAACAGACGTCCCAAAATCAAATACATCACTTGCTGTAGTATTAGCTCGGATTCCAGGACACGAAAGAGACGTCGTTGTCAATGCCTTTTTGGACAACGGTGCTAGAATCGGTTGATTCTGAGGAAGTAATGCCAGTTCATCGCGCTTGGGTTGTCGACTCCACGCCCTGCTTACGATCACTCGCGCCACGTCCCGAACAATCCCAGAAGTGGAAGCATTTAAAGGAAATACCGTTTCCAGAATTGAAACCGGTAGACATAGGTTTTCTTATCGGTTGTGACGTCCCAAAGGCACATTGGGTTCTAGAGCAGAGGTTCGGGGGCCCCCAAGACCCTTACGCAATAAGAGGAACTTTGGGATGGGCAGTTTTGGGGCCTTAATACTCAAACCCCAATAGCGACCAGAGCGAAGCAATTTTCCATCACCTCAGTCAAACGGAAGGCTTAAGTTCACAGCTCGAAGGTATGTTCAACTTCGAATTTCTCGAAGCTGCCTGTACCAAGCGAGCAATGTCTCTGAATGATCGAGTGACCTATGGACGAATGCTTACGTCCTTGGAAGTAGTGGACAATCACCATCAAATACCCCTACCTTGGAAGGATGGATCCCCTTGTCTACCAGACAACAAGGGCTTGGCACTCAGAAGACTTTTTGTTCTAAAGGGTCGTCTTGAACGTGACCCTATCTTTAGGAAACTCTACTGTGAAAACGTCGAAGAGTATGTAAGTAAAGGCTATGCAGAAATCGTATCTGACAGTGAGCAAAATAAAGCTGGCCCAAGTGTATGGTACCTACCACACCATGGAGTGTTCAAAGCAGGAGCCAAAAGCATATTTCGCGTTGTTTTTTTCTGTGCTGCAAAAGCTTTCAATATCTCCCTGAATATGCAGCTGCTTACTGGTCAAGATCTGGTGGATAGTTTATGTGGCGTCCTTCTAAGATTTCGGGAACACCCTTACGTGTTGGTCGCAGATATCGAGGCGATGCTCCATCAAATTAAAGTTCCACAATCCGATCGGGATGCACTACGTTTTCTCGGTGAGCTTTCCAACCGACCGATTTCTTACCGCATGACTGTTCATCCGTTTGGAGCAACTTCATCGCCCTGTTGCGCTAGCTTAGCTCTCAGGCAGACTATTAGAACTTTCATGGCCCCCTACGAAGAGGAAGCGGTAAGATTAGCCAATCGATCCTCCTAAGTCGATGACTGTCTGATCCGTTTGCCCACGAAAGGAGCGGTAAAGACTACGGCCAAGCAATTCAAGGAGGCCCTAGCATCTGGTGGATTCAATCTTACAGGTTTCTCCACTAATGTGGAAGAGGCATTGTGTGACTTACCCGAAGCGATATCTACTACTACACCACTTCATATAGATCGTCAACCAGACTATGTAAGGAGAACATTAGGCGTGTTATGAGAAAATATGACTGATTGATTCTGTTTCAAGGTGGAAAGCTGGAATAGTATCCCCACTCTTCGTGCTTTACTGTCTTACGTAGCTTCATTGTTTGATCCTCTGGGGATGGTTGCACCAGTACTACTGCCAGCAAAGTGCCTGATTCAGGATCTCTGTCGAAGGAAGGCTTCCTGGGATGATAATGTGCCTGAGCATGGAACTTTGAAATGAAAGAACTGGTTTCTGAATTTACAAAATATAGAAAGCATTCGCATACCACGATGTACCCAACCCGAATCATTTGCTTCAGATTGTAAGACTGAGTTGCACGCATTTTCTGGTGCTTCAGAGACCGGCTATGGTGCTGTGATCTACATCCGACTGATCGACCGGCCGGGAATACCCCACTCCACATTATTGATAGGAAAGTCCAGGGTCGCCCCCATCAATTACACAAGCATACCGCGATTGGAGCTCACTGCTGCTGTATTGTCTGCCAAGCTAACTGCTTGTGTGAGAGAAGAACTGTCTATTGATATAGATTCCTCTTTTCTGTGGACAGATTCTATGATTGTGTTACAAATAATACGTAACCGAACTACACGTTATGGGACCTTCGTAGCTAACCGACTAGCGTCCATTCTTGATTATTCGGAACCTGAAGATTGGATGTACGTCGAAAGCAAATGCAATTTTGCAGACATAGCTTCC